ACGTGTGTGATGACATTGTGACGTGTGCGATGACATTTTGACGTGTCTGATGATATTATGACGTGTGTGATGACATTGTGACGTGTGCGATGACATTTTGACGTGTCTGATGATATTATGACGTGTGTGATGACATTGTGACGTGTGCGATGACATTTTGACGTGTCTGATGATATTATGACGTGTGTGATGACATTGTGACGTGTGCGATGACATTATGACGTATGCGATGACATTATGACGTGTGTGATGACATTTTGACGTGTGTGATGACATTATGACGTGTGCGATGACATTATGACGTGTGCGATGACATTATGACGTGTGCGATGACATTATGACGTGTGTGATGACATTATGACGTGTGTGATGACATTGTGACGTGTGTGATGACATTGTGACGTGTGTGATGATATTATGACGTGTTTGATGACGCGGTGCACAGGACAGAGGTAGCGATCGGCCGATGTATGGCATATCACGAAATCTATTCACTTGACAAATCCGGCACGAGGATGCGTGGGGAAAATCCCAACCATTAACTGTAGCCTTCATTTTGTGATCCTAATATCAAACTAGACCCTAAACCTAACCCGTAACATTAAACTTGACTCTTGAAATAATCTAACCCTTATATTAAACTTGACCCTTGAAATAATCTAACCCTTATATTAAACTTGACCCTAACCCTAACCCTAACGCTAATCCTAACCCTACCCCTAACCCTAATCCTAACCCTAACCCTAACCCTGCCTCTAACCCTAACCCTAACGCATTGTTACGTTTGGTACGTATTCACGTATAGCGCGAAGACTGAGAGTGGCGTGGCGTGAATTCACACGGCGTGTGCATGCAGCCATCGGCAACCTAAGCCCGTCACGCAGGCAGTGATGTGGCGTTAACCTAAGATTAACAGCCTCAGTGCCACTATAACATCTGATGGAGACACTGACACGCCATCTGCAGAGAAAGACTGCATACAGTTCCGCATAGAGATCGGTTACCTATGACGTCAGCTCACTATTCAATATGTTGTCATCATAACCGGGATGCAGCCGTGCGAGAAATTCGGGGAGGCGCAGCGTTGAGAAGAAAAATGAAAACGTTCGGGAAAAGGTTTTAAACGGAAAATTTTGCGAAATATTTATGCGTAAAATTTCTCGCGCATTTCATTCGCATTGCGCTTCGTCGAGCGCAGACGGTGCACCGGATAAAGCGAGAGGGAGGGAGAGAGAGAGAGAGGGAGAAAGAGAAAGAGAGAGAGAGAGAGAGAGAGAGAGAGAGAGAGAGAGAGGGAGAGAGACGCACGCACGCACACTCGTGCACGCGCG